ATCTTTTCACCTTAACATAATAAACTTAGTTGTTTTAGTTGTTCGCCAATACTTTTATACATTATAAATTTTCATAATTATAATCATTTTATAATTTTTTTTATAAATAATTTTTTTCCAAAAACTTTATCTTTACTATAGATTTATTAATCAAATATAAATAAATATTAAAGATAAAAAAATAGTTTTATTAATAATAAATATATTTTTATATGAATAAGATACATAACTCGATTAACTATAAAAGTATATACACTTACACTTTTATCATTAAAAAGAAAAATAAAACATGGTTTTGAGAAAACATATTATTTTGACCAACTTATATAAGTTTCTAAATATGAAAAAGTTAGGAGTTTTTTTTTTCTTGACAAACAAACAAAAACTTGTGAGAAAAGGTATTCTTCTAATCAATTTTGTTTTGCTCAATTGCTCAAAACTTGAAAGATGGAACTAAAAAATTGAAAAGAAAAAAAATATTATTGAAGGAATAATAACATCACTGCCTTGTAGAGCTCTCTTCGTATCCCTCAATTCCATCATAATTCTAAGTAAACAATCAATGTATTTGAATTTGCATTGATAGTTAGTGGCGAAATAAAAACAATATAAAAAATATCAAGTAAATGAACATAAAATTCTCTTAATAGAATTACCATATAAAATTCTAATTTTTTTATTATTTGTTATTTTTTCTTCAAGTAATCTATTTTTATAAGAGGTTTAAAACTCTTTAAATAAACCTAAAAACTTATCTAAATCAACAAGAAACACCTAAAAGTTTTAAAAAAAATCTAAATCAACAAGAAACACCTAAAAGTTTAAAAACAAAATCAATAAAAATCCTCAACAAAATAGAAAAAAATCATAAAAAAATTGAAAGAAATCATAAAAAAATTAAAAAAATAATATACTAAAAAAATTATAAATAATGAGAGTTTTAAAGTCAACTAAAAAATATATTATAAATAAACTAAAAAGAAATTATAAACCCTGAACATTAATTTTTGGGCTTTATTTAAAGATCTTATTGATCTCTAATTAATATACTAAAATAGCATTATATATATACATATATATATATATATATATAGTCAATCCACGTCACAAAGCAACTTTTTAAAATTAAAGGCTTTTTAAAATTAAAGGTTTATATATATAAAATGCCTTTAATTTTCAAAAGTTGCTTTGTTACGTGGATTGACAATGCGGTGCATGGTTTAGTAACAATATGCATCACTCACTTTGTTAAATGTACCATTACATAATTAATATTATGATGTAAAATGTTTTTAAAAAATATTATTAACTTAAAAATATATTAAAATATCTTGTATTTTTTATATTAATATATTAAAATTAAAAAAATCAATTTAATATTTTTCTTCAAAAACAAAAAACTCAAAAAACATCAACTAAAAATTCAGACAATGAATTGCATGTTACAAGACTGTAAGAGCGATGAACAAACCGGGCGTTCATTTGAATTCATCTAGAAAAAGGCCACGTCATGGCATCTTTCATCAGGACAAGCGTGTTGTTGAACTTGGGACAGAGATTAAAACCGCAACCATACATGAATTTCACATCCAAGAAACAAGTCACCTTGCATATAAACTCAACAAAATTATTAGTTTTTTTTACTTTTAAATCAGATCAAAAGACATTACAAGACAACTCACACACACTTCAATATTACAGATCAACAACACTGGAGCGAAACCCTAATGGTAAGCCTCCATAACCTTCCTTTCAAAGTCTATCTCCTAACACATGCTGGCCTCCATATGTGCTCTGGACCTCGATAATTTTTCCATCTATAGGTGGTTTGCTTTTCCAGGCTTCAGCCACATTCCGCATCTACTCGAAAGGATTCCTATCTATATACAGAACACTAATGACCAATACTTTCTTTATCCTAAATACAGTTCTTTTCTCAGGGTAATAGCCGCTTCACATCATGCTCTTGGTCAGCATTCTTGGCTTGATTGTATAGCGATTCAAAAGCATTCATACACACACTCGAAAATCCGACCATTGCCTGAAAAACATGTGGGAATCCCATCTGGAGGTTGTTCATTGTCATTGACCTGGTTACGCTAATTGACTTTTCATGCTTACTCTTTTCTTCCTCTGCCTTTGCCCGCGAGATCTCAACCTTTGCTCTTTTCTCCATAACTGGGTCTTTTTTCCTTGTAGTGCTAGGAGTTTCAGGCATCGAGTACGGACCATACTTGCTCTCCAGCGATCTAAGCTCAGCAGCCTTCTTCTCAAACTCTTTGAATGCAGATTCTGACTTCTTCTTTTGCTTATGCTCTTCTGCTTGTTGAACTACAATAGCATGAATTACTGCTAAGAAGCTCTTGATTCCTTCAGAAGCCACTTTGTCAGGAATCCGATCAACTGCATGGTGCCATTCTTCACAAAGGGAATAAATTCTTGATTCCTGACTGGTTCTTGAAATTGGGTTTTTGCTGAACTGGAAAAGGCTAAGTCGCAGCCAGCCTGTGAGGGACTGAATGTAATCCCGCTGAGCCTTGACTACATTGCAAAATGATTGGTGCCATTGGTGGACCTCAAGCTCAAGCTGGAGAGTCGACTGCCTATGAATCTCAGATGTCGGCTCAGTAGATGGGATTGTGTTGAGATATTTGAGCTGCTGAACAATGTGTGTCTGGACCTGGTGCAACTCGTACATGCTTCTCCACATGCACATTGACCTGCAAAGGAAAAGAAGGTTTTATTTAAGCACGAGCATCATGACAAATCTTATACTTTATCTCATAAGCCATGTCTGCCTCCATGTCTAATAAAGTGTAAAGAATAATTTGGCAGGATATTTATCAGATATAGGCTCATACCCTCTACTGTCTTCAAAACTGAAATTGTTCATCGCTATTTTATTGGATTGCTTGCACTATATTTGATAATGGTAAAATTCTGATTTCCAAATGGAAATAATTTTGCGAGATGGCCAGGATCCAACACATGACAAAGAATACCAAATTTCTATTAATTCAACCTGCCACCAAAGTCCGCAACAGTAAAGTTATAATTACACACTATTGACACAAGCCCACATCTACCAGAGTCCGCCACAGTAAAGCTATAATTACACCATATTGACTCCAGCCCACATCTACCAATGCCTCACTAGCACACTGTGCCTTAAGATTCTACCTTAGCAACACAGTGAGACGACAAAACTCCAATGGATGCAAAGAGAGATTCACAAGCTAAACTGAGGTCTCATAGCCCTTGGCACAGCTGGATTCCTATCACTTCGAAATAAAAGCAAGCAAGAGAGACAAAACAAGCCAATAAAGGCAGACAAAAGTAAATTATGTACTGTATATATACGAGCAAAAATAAAAAAAATCCAAAGTTGACTTTCACTGGGTATTTTTATTATTATCTTCCAGTTCTTTATGTCTACTCCATCCTTCGAATTTTGCAAGGCTTTAAGACCAGGGGCTGCAACAATACTAAGCTATGACCACAACAGAGCCAGATTCAAACGCAAGTGTGGGCCAAGGTCAATTTTCCATTTTGTGCCTGTAATAATTATGAGAATTCAAGGTGCCACAAGCTTCGGCCCTAAAACCCGGTAGCCGTTTGGACTCACTCTATGAAAGGAAAATGATGCGATATGGGTCACGTGAAAACTTAGGGGTTACTTGTTTGTTGCTTCAGCTCTTAAATGCAGCTAGGTCATGGGCCCAACGAAAAGTACTATTGAAAAAACAAAAATGACCGACCCTTTTACAAGCTCAAGGAGTTGAGGGTAAAGCTCTGTCTCCCTTAATTTGATGATTTCCGAGGAAATGGACTCGATGCCCTGAGCGGCGACCATCATCTGGGACTGCAACTTCTCTACTTCTTTCTTGGTCTTCTCCGTCTTTACATACTCAACCCTCTTAACCTCTAGCTTCCTCAGCAATGCTAACTTCTTCTCATGCTCAATTTTCAAACTCTCGGCATTCTACAGCACAACAGCATAATCTCTCGATTAAAATTTAAAAAAAAAAAGGGAAAAGAAGTACTTGATAAATAACATAAGAATATCATCTTTAATTAGATAGATAGAGACAGGACAGCCTATGACTCGCTTCTTTACTCTTTTTGACTCCTCAAGTACAATTAGAGATAACCCAGTATGTAATCAACAAAATATGGTCCATCAAGGCCATACCTTGACCTCCAGGAAGAGCTTCTTCTCCCAGGCACATAGTCTCTCCAAAGTTGAACAATGACTAACATGAGCTGCACCCCCGCATCCTCCATGACTAACAACCATTTCCTCACTAATCTTTCCAAACCCATTAAGCTTTGAACTTGAACCCCATGTCCACAATGATGGACTGGTCAAACGGCATCCATAATTATAACTTTTACCTGCAACATCAACAAACAAAATGAACATGACCCAAGAAAACGAATCAAATCAAACATCTAAATAAAAGACAAAGAACAATTTTTGATTCTCCAGTTTTCTCATTAACCAAACAAAGTCAAAACAAGAAAATGGAACTATAATAAAACAAATGTATAAAACTACAAGATCAAAGACTAACTAACCTCCTTTGCTTTGACTTGCTGACAAGTTAGGGCTTGAAACTTCCAAAACACAAGAAAGTTGACCACCAGCATCAGCAGCTTTAAGAAAATATTCATCGACTTCTTTAATGATCTCCACCAAATCTTTACTATTTCTTGAAACCACCATAGCAAGCTCACTCCCACTTCCACTAGCAGTCTCTTTCGAAAACCCACTAACCACCGAAGGTGGGACCACCGCTACCATCTCCGATGCAGTGGTGGTGGTGGTCACCTCCTCCCACTCCTCCTCCTCCATTGACCTCGGCGGAGGAGGGACAAAGGGGTCCCAGAAATCCCAACTCGACGCCACCACTGGTGGAGGCGGTGGGGGAGGGGGCGGAAGCGGGGAGGCAGCGGTTGCGGTGGTTGTGGTTGTCCATGTGTCCGAGCTTGGGCTCATGGGAGGTGGGGGAGGTGGTGGTGGGTTGGGTTGTAGTGGTGGTGGGGAGCGATGGATGGGTGGGAGGCGGCGGTGATGGTGGTGGTGGTGGAGGTGGAGGTCGGTTTCAGTGTTGGAGAACTGAAGAAGGGCTGATCCAGTACTGCGAAGTGAACGGATGTACATTGCATGTGAAGCAGAAAGAGATTGTCTTGCTTTGACAAGTTGTTTCATGTATCTCTTCCTTGCTTTGCATCTTGACACCATCTCTTCTCTCTCTATTCTTGAGTAACAACAACCCATACTGCTGCTGCTGTTGTCGTCTCTCTACACGCTCTAGATCAAGCCTGTCCTTTGGTTGCGCTTTGGTGTTCTTGATTTGGAGCCAGAAGGAAAAGTGAAACACTTTTTGAACGCGAGAGTGTGAGAGAACTTACAGTACTTAGATCAATGTCCGAGGGGGTTTCATGGTCATTGATTACTTGCGTCCTTGGAACCAAACAAAAGAAACAACGAACACACAAAAAATAAGGTTATTAGCTGCTACAAAAACATGGTACCGTTTAATTAAGTTTTTTTTCCCTTCGCTAAAAAAAATATAAATGCTTCTGGGTTTTCCAAAATGACCTTTGTTTTGCCTATCTCTCTATCAAGGCGTCTTTCTAGGTCTAGGATATGTTTTGGTTTTGGTAGAGGTGATGGTGGTAGTGGTGATGGAGTAACAGTCTTTTGAGAGGTACGTACCAAGACAAAGTGCATTGGGCAGAGAGCTAGGCAAGTCATTTTATATTTGAATTTTAGAGTCGAAAATATCGAAGTAAAAAATTAAAAACTTTCAGGTTTTTCGACTTGCCATTAATAAAATAAAATTTATTCCTTTTATTTTATAATTTTTTAGGTTTTTTCTTGATGTTCCGGTTTTTATATTTTTATTAAATTTTAATTTATTTTTAATTTTTTCTGTATATTTATGATTTTTTTTTATTTTTTTAAATTTAATCCTCATATTTTTCTTTTTTCTTTTTTTATAAATTTAATTTTTCTTTTTAATTTTTCTCTTTAATTTAAAATTTAATAATATTTCAAGTTTAATCCTTTGATTTTTAATTTTAATTCTTTATTTTTTTATCAAATTTTAATTTATTTTTAATTTTATAATTAAATCTATAATCTTGGATTTTTTTAATTTTTTTTAAATTTGAGAATGTCGTTCATGTTGCTTTTAGAAGTAATTTTTATGCTGAAATATATCAAAATTAGGTTTTTTATTTTTAAAAAATTTAAGATCAGAAATATATCAAAATTAGGTTTTTTATTTTTTAAAAATTTAAGATCAGCATATCAAAATAATCCAAAATATATAAAAAAAATTATTTTTTATCAAAAAAAATTAAATTTTTTAAAACTATAATTTACATCGCCTTCCTAAATGTTCTCTTAATCCTTGTTATATTAATTTTTATTTTTTTATTTTAGATTCTTATATTAATTTGTTTTTGTTTTTGTGATTTTTTCCTTTAATTCAAGATTTTAAGTTATCCTCTCATTTTATTTTTCAAATGAGATTCATGTTTTTTTAATTGTTATTTTTTTGTCATTTTATATAATTGAATATTTTATTTTATCATTTGACATTTAATTTATTGAAATTTGATCTTCATAACATTTCTCAAAATTTTTAAACTCGACACAGAACAAATCATAGGTCACAGGTCACAAGTCAAGCTGGCTAACTAGAATTAATCCAAGCTAACCAAGTCTTTTGATTTGATAAAAAAATTTGAAATATTTTTTTTAAAAAAAAAAAGAAAATAGCCAACAATTTTAACCTAGTTTTAACTAAAGTTGTCCCGGGTTAACTAGACATGGGTCAACACCAGTTTTTTACCATTTTACATTAGATCAATTCTTCACAAATTTCTTTTGAAATTTAGCTCGGCCTAAACCTCGATCACAAATTAACCTATTGGGCATAGCCAAGTTTTTTAAATAGGGTGCTTTCGATTTAATTATTGGTTAGGATTATAAATTTGAAAAGTTAATAAAGATTGACATTGTTTTTTTCTTAATCATATCATTTTAATTAGGTTATTATCATTTTATAATCTATGTAAGAGATTTGATAAGGTGTAACAGGTTTTTAGGTTAATTTTTATGGTTTTTGTCAATTTTCTTCTTCAAAATTTAATTTTTTAATATTAAACTTTGTTTTTTTTTATTATAACTTTTACCAAACTGTCCATTTCTCAAGATCATATTTGCAAATCTTTGCTATGTTATTCAGATTTACTAGTATTTTGTTTTTTAAAAAAAATTTATTCAATAATTTTTATATTTATTTTAGATTTTTTTATTCAATAATTTTTATATTTTATCATTCTATCTTTAATAATTATTATTTTTATTTTTATGATGTGGAATTGTGAATTTTTTAAAATAAATTAATATTATTTAAACATTATTTTTTTAAAAAAATAGCTGAACTGCAGAACCACGTGTCACATATACAGTACTTATATATATATATATATATATATATATTTAAGTAGCTATAACATGCAGGGCATAATCCGAATTTGCTTGTTGGGTTTGGATGGTAGAGGCCATGTTGAGAATGAGAAGATTCCTGGTGGGGTGAATAAGTTGATCTTGAAGAATTTGAATTACCAATTTGCCACATGATTTGCGAAAGAGAACGGAGGGTGTTTTGGTAACTTGATATTTCAAGGTTAATATTTATTTGATAATATAGTTACGTTTGTTTTTTAAAAAAAATTCATGTAAAAATAAATTAAAATAATTTGTATTTTAAAAAATTACTTTTAAGATTTTCATATCAAAACATTGAAAATACATAAAGAAATTAATATTTTATTAAAAAATAAAATTTTAAAAAATATTGTACTGTGTTGCTAAAATGAGATGAAAATTTGGAGAGAGCAGTGGTGATAATTAATAAAGAGATGAAATCCGCGGCCAAAACTGTAATTACCAATTAGATGTTACAATTTACAAAGGGTTGGATGGCTGGGCATTGAAAGGACGAAAATTTTTGGGTCTGTTCAATAAAAAAGTATTATTTTAATTTTTCAGGAAAGATAGAGTTTTTGTTTAAATAAACTATTTTTTAATTTTTTTTCATTCATTGAAAGAGAAGTTGAAAACGCAATTGACCAACTTTTTCCCAACTTGATAATTTTTTAGACAAAAATCACCTCGTAAGTAATTTTTAACTAATAACAATTATATTATTACCTTTCACTTTATCTTTTGTAGCGTCTTTATTTTTTATTCCCCCACCCATCAGTTTGATGCCGTAGTTCTTAAAAGTAAAATTTTTATTTATTTATTTTTTAATTAAAGTTTTAAAAAAATTTCAAATTTTATTTAAAGAATCAATAATTATATAATAAATATAATTTAAAGAATAAACACTTTTTTTAATCCAATATAAAAATCATAATATTATAAATAAAAAGATAATAATTACATTAAAAAAATAGTTATTAAAAGGTTAAATCATATATATATAATTTTTTTAAAATTTAAAAATACATGACGCATTATTACATATTACACCTTATCTTCAAATATAAATAAATTAATTTATTGAATTGATAATAAATTAAATAATTTAATTTATATAAAATATTTTAATTGAGTTATTTTATTTACATGATCTAACTCACGAGGCATAATAATATTATATGAGTTGTTTTTTTTATCGTTTTTGTTGATTGATTTTTTTCATCGTCATATATTAGATTGTTGAAAATTGAGTATTATGAATTTTTTTTATTTTATATAAAGTTATCTCAACCTCATGACTTGAAACTTATATATCTTAGTCTTATCAAATTATTGACTGGATGTGAATTCATCTCCTCTACCTGGGTTAGATTTTAGTAATATTATGGTTATTTTTGGAAAACATCTTGACAATAACTTTTATAGGGTTTATTTTCTTTAGGTGTGCCATTTGATACTCACCTTTTAAATTTACTTATTGTGCTTTGACTAGCTTTCATAGTATTGATACATAATAAGTGAATAATTTTTATTTTTATTTTGTTTGTCAGATATCTTTTAGCAATTTTATTTTAAAAATCAATACTCTCAATTATTTAAAAAAAAATAGACTTAAATATCCTATTGCTCATCTTAAAATCCAAATTCATGGACCATATAGAGTCCATATACTTTGAACACCTAGAAGTAACAACCAAGTAATTTTAGAAAACCCCAGGAAAAACTATTTCTTTTTAACAAGTCCATTTACCTTATATAGTTGAAATGATATTTTAAGTAACTAAAATAATTTGAAGTGATATTTTGAATACAATAAAAGTGGGTTTTTACTTTAAAATATAGAATGTCAGCTTATTAAACCTTTTAATGTTGACTAAAACTTGATAGGCCTTATCATGTGTTTCAAGATCTAAAAATATATGAGTCAAAGGTTTTGTTGATTTTAAGGTTGAGAACCGAGAGCAAACAACTTGGAAACCTCCACTAATTTAGACAAAACTCAATTTGAAATAAAATTTGATGTTGTAATAGTAAGTAAATGGCCAATAGCATATCAAGTGCAAGATAAGAACTATTCTAAGGGTCTCGACCAAAAATGCATGAATATTTTCAAAATAACAAATACTTGGATATGGATAAGTATTTTAGAAGATCTATTTTGGTTGAGGTTAGATTCAACTAGCTCATAAAAGCTAATTTGAGAGCTATATATGCATTCTAATATGATATAAACATTAATATAAGATCATTCATTAAATTACAACAAACTTTTTAAGATAAGATTGTCAAAAAATAACACCAAATTTTAGAACATGCTCACACTATATCAAAGGGAATAATCAAATTATTAACCAAATGTTTGTCTATTTAGGATATACATGGCTTCAACTTTAAGAGAACATATAACCCACCTAGTAGTGTACATTAAATCATATCATTCTCAAACCAAACACCAAAAAAAAAAAAACAAACATATAAAAGGAAGCATTTTATAGTTTCAAGCACATGGATTTAAGACACCATCAATGCCATTCATAAGAGATTCAACAACATTCAACAAGAAATCACTTTTGTTACAAGTTCAAACTTAAGGACATAGAACACTAGCAGCGCTCCTCACATAGAAATACCATAAACATTTAACAAGAAAAGCCACAATCACATGTAATATATCAACACCATTAAATTTGCAAGAAAGGAAACATAAGAAATGCATATAGAGCCATAAACAATCTTTAGCAAGTAGCATAAACTATTAAAAAATATCAAACATGAGATGTATGATTAAAAGCATAATAAGCAAAAAGAACAAATAAAGAGGGTAAGAGGCTGGGGCCGGGGGGAGATGCTAAAACAAGAAGGCATGGCTCAACTAGATAAAGTTAGGGCTTTGAATTTTAGTGATGGTAACACTGTATTCCTCTTTCCTTTATCCAAAACTTAAAACCTAAAGAATCCAAATCTTTTTAAAAATTTAAAATTGTCTTTCACTTCCTCTTATTAATAGAATTTCTTTCTCCCTCAAATTTCTTAAATAGTTCATTTTGTTCTTTATTTTCTCGTTGTTGATCTCTTTATTTATTATCTTTTCTCTCTCTCTTTTTTCTTTCTTTCTTTTTTCATAAAAAACCTAATGCTATTTATAGGGTGGAGAAAATGACCTACTCAAATGAGAGCAAGTCATTGGATGCCTAAGCAACAAAATT